TGGGAGGCTGAGGTGGGTGGATCGCTGAGGTCAGGAGTTTGAGACTAGCCTGGACAACATGGCAAAACCCCGTCTCTATAAAAAATACAAAATTTAGCTGGGCCTGGGGTGCAGGCCTGTAGTCCCAGCTATTTGGGGGGGCTGAAGCAGGAGAATAGCTTGAACGTGCAAGGTGGAGTCTGCAATGAGCCGAGATTGCGCCACTGCACTCCAGCCTGGGTGACAAAGTGAGACCCTGGCTAAAAACAAACACACAGAAAAATATGTCATGTGTTTTTGAAAGCAAATGTGCTATAATACTGCTTTGATCTGAATGTCCCCCAAAATTCATATGTTGATATTTAATCTCAGCTTTGGTGGTATTAAGAGGTGAGGTTGTTTGGGAAGTAATTAAGCCATGAGGACTCCACTCTCATGAATGAATTAGTGCCTTATTCATTGAGGGAAAGGGCTGGAGGGAAGGGCTGGAGGGGACTAGCTTTGGCCCTTTTTTGTCCTTCCACCATGTAAGGAACACAGCATCTCCTCCGGAGATCATCTCCTCTGGAGGATGCAGCAACAAGGCTCTACGTGAAGAAGAAACCAGGTCCCTCACCAGACACTGTATCTGCTGGCACCTTGATCTTTCACTTCCCAACCCTTTAGCTCTGTAAGAAACACATTTCTGTTGTTTATTAATTACTCTGTCGCAGGTATTTTGTTATAGTAGCACAGACAAATAATGTTTTATTTTATGTTTACAACCCATAAGGAGGAAAATTCTGGATTTGGAATCTATCTTGGCAAGATAATATACAGATATGATTATAAGAAAATCAGTGAGGTTATAAACAGTAGCTTACCAACATAGGTTGGTATATAAATACAACTTCACATAACAAATATAGTTGACTTGAAGTAAACACACACAATTTACTATAGCATTCTGACAAACGTAGTTTCCTATAACAAATAATCAAAGCCGTAAGATTCAGGTTACAGTTTTCAGAGTTAGTAGTAGTCAGTTACTGCCAGGTGTAGTGGCTCAAACTTGTAATCCCAGCACTTTGGGAGGCCGAGGCAGGAGGACTGTCTGAGCCCAGGAGTTTGAGACCAGCCTGAGCAACATGGTGAGACCCTGTCTCTATTTTATTTTATTAAAAGTTTTAAAATATTGGCCGGGAGCAGTGCTCACGCTTGTAATCTCAGCACTTTGGGAGGCTGAGGCAGGCAGATCACTTGAGATCAGGAGTTCCAGACCATCCTAGCCAACATGGTGAAACCTCATCTCTACTAAAAATACAAAAATTAGCCTGGCATGGTGGTACGCACCTATAATCCCAGCCACTTGGGAGACTGAGTCAGAGAGTCGTTTGAACCTGGGAGGCAGAGGATGCAGTGAGCCCAGATTGCACCACTGCACTCCAGCCTGGGTGATAGAGTGAGACCCTGTCTTAAAATAAATAAATAAATAAAATATTATTTAAAAAAAGAAGTAGCCTATCTCAGAGGTTATGTGACTTTATCACAGTTTTAAAAATGTAATGGTAAGCCAGGCGTGGTGGCTCACGCCTATAATCCCAGCACTTTGGGAGGTTAAGGCGGGCAGATCATGAGGTCAGGAGTTCGAGACCAGCCTGGCCAATACAGTAAAACCCCGTTTCCACCAAAAATACCAGAATTAGGTGGGCATGGTGGCGGATGTCTGTAATCCCAGCTACTCAGGAGGCTGAGGCAGGAGAATCGCTTGAACCCAGGAGGCGGAGGTTGACAGAGCAAGACTCCGTCTCCAAAAAATAAAAAATTTAAAAAATTGAATGGTAGTTACCTTTACTAGAGACTGAGCATACATAAAAGTAATCTTAAATAAGTTTTTTGCCTTTGGCCAAATGTTGGTTCATTGTGATCTGGAGTCTACCATGACTATAACTGTATCTGTACCTATATGAATATCTGTACCTGTATCTATACCTACATAAGACTTCATCAAAGTTCTCATCTTGCAATGTTTCCTGTTAAATATCATCATGACTACTTGTAACCTATTTGAATCAAGGCTGAGTTACAGCCTTTTAAGTCTTTGAATAATTTTTTTTTTTTTTTTGAGATGGAGTTTTCCCCTCATTGCCCAGGCTGGAGTGCAATGGCACGATCTTGGCTCACCACAACATCCGCCTCATGGGTTCAAGCAATTCTGCCTCAGCCTCCTGAGTAGCTGGAATTACAGGCACACGCCACAATGCCTGGCTAATTTTTTTGTATTTTTAGTAGAGACGGGTGCCACCATGTTGGCCAGCCTGGTCTGGAACTCCTGACCTCAAGTGGTCCTCCTGCCTTGGCCTCCCAAAGTGCTGGGATTAGAGGCATGATCCACCATGCCTGGCTTTTTTTTTTTTTTTTAAGAGCACAAATCCATGTTTATTTATTGACTTTTCTTTTTCTTTTTTTTTTTTTTTTTGAGACTCAGCCTCGCTCTGTCGCCCAGGCTAGAGTGCAGTGGCACAATCTCGGCTCACTGCAACCTCCGCCTCCTGGGTTCATGCAGTTCTCTGCCTTAGCCTCCCAAGTAGCTGGGATTACAGGTGCCCGCCACCACAACCAGCATTTTTGTATTTTTAGTAGAGACGGGGTTTCCATTTTTGGTCAGGCCTGGTCTTG